CTTCTTCTCTATGTCATGCACACTTTTTAATTTATATAGTATGAACACTACTTAAATTACATTGTATAATTAGTTATATGTATATTATATAATGAGAAAATGATCATCTCACACCTATTATTCCAAAAATTATTTTTCATCCATATTTTATAAATATTCATCATCTATTCATTCTTAATTTCATAGCAAAAGTATTTTTATAAATGGTTATAAAGTTTGAAAAAAGTGATGTGAGAGTATAATTATTCATATATGCTCATTTTTATACATTTGGATTCTGCCTCTTGTTTCAAGTGTGGAGCGATCCACTATCTTCTTAGATCAGTTTGCAAGTTTAGTTTTGGAAGGGAGTAAGAGAAATGAAAGGTTTCAAATACTTGTGAGATTACTTTGAAGGGTTCTATTTCTCTTCTTTCTCCTCCGAAACTCAACTCGCAAACGAACCTTAGTATCTGCTTATCTGGTTCTTATGCTTCTAAGTTCAAACACAGACTAAGCACCCCTTTAGATTGTTATGGTTTCCATTACTTAACAAGTTTCTGTTGTTTTTATTCTGATACAGGTTAAGGAGCTTGAGATGGAAAACTCATATGAAAATGGTTTTCAACTTAGCTTAAAATTAAGCGAACCAAACCTAGTTACTCCTGCAGAAGAAACTAAGAAAGGTAAATATTTCCTTTCTAACCTTGACCAAAACATTGCAGTGAATATCAGAACTGTTTATTGCTTCAAAGATGAAAAGAAAGGAAATGAGAATGTTGGTGAAGTGATGAAGAATGCTTTGAAGAAGGTTCTTGTCCATTATTATCCACTTGCTGGAAGATTGAACATAAGCTCAGAGGGTAAACTTATAATTGATTGCACTGGTGAGGGTGCAATGTATGTGGAGGCTGAAGCAAATTGTTCAATAGAGGATATTGGTGATATTACAAAACCAGACCCTGGGACTCTTGGGAAGCTTGTGTATGACATTCCTGATGCAAAGAACATACTTCAGATGCCTCCTTTGGTTGCTCAGGTATGTCTTTCGAACCAGTATCATCTCCGGTAACGAAGAGACAAATTCTTGTTTTCACACTTATAATGAAGGATAAAAAAATCATATTCTCTGTGATGTATTTATCTCTTCATTAATGTAAGGATGATCCTAACTCATGTCTTTTATATTATTGTCTTATACTCTTGGATATATTTGTTGTTGATAGAAAAAGTTTTTGACTCATGGGAAAATGAGAAATTGAACGGTAATTGCAGTTTTCTCCGATTTAACCAATATTATCCCTTTAGATTATGAATAATAAACTAATATTCTTTAGGATATGTGGTTATTTATCTCAACAAATATTACTCTAAGTAATCGAACATTTTGATCAATTATTAGGGTTTAACCCAAGTATTAATATTTCATAGTTCTATCATGCTATTTGTATATTATATAGTGATGTTATATACTGCAGAGTAGTTCATGTGGCCTAAATATAAAACCAATTAAATCATAATAGTTATAAAACCAATTAAATCACCCCATTATGTATTTGGGAGAAAAAGAAGGCATCACTATGGATTGTGAATGTGCTGCTATTATCAATTATATAGTAAATGTCATTAAAGAGGAACAAAGACTTTATATCCTATATGATATCTCATACAAATAATTGATTTTATGTCTTATAAAATATCTCATACAAATAAATTTTTATTCATACAACACAATATATGAAATTAGATATACAACTCTATTCATCTAACAGTTCAATAATTGTTTAATATGTCAGTCTGCCATGTCCCATGTTTATCATTATCATATATATTTTTGTCTGTCGATTCTCATTAAGTGACAGTTAGAGTGGGACAATTATTGATGGGTAAAGAGATACCTATATTCATTGAATCATCCACTAAAATTAGATTGGGTTTGAGTTTATAAATAGTGAAAAAACTGTAGAACTTCATTTCTTATCCATTTTCCCAACACTTTTATTGCCATTTTTGGGTCAGTACTCTAAACAAATCTTGTGTTCGAGAAAAACTTGAAATTTTAATAGTTTCTCCTTTTTTCTTATAACTGTAATAAACAATTAATTCTTTCATACCATGAATAGTGTAAATAATTAACCTAAGAGATAGTTTACATGATGATCATCTGTCTCAAAATAATAATATCTTTATATTCCAAACCAATCAACTTCTTTTACGTAATATAAAAATGTTACATTGTATTTTTTTTTATTTTTCTTTATAATAAAGTGACATTTTTTCAATTATTGTTTACACTCGACAATACTTTTGGGCATTTCTAATTACCATCTCTACTTTGTTTTTGAATTTTTAATTCATTTAATTATAAATGAAAATTATATAATAGTCAAGTTAGATAAGTGATCTAATAAGCATGGTGGATTGTTTCATCTTATGTGGGTATGATATTGTGGTTATTCTAACCTCCACATTTGTATCACATTTGTGGTGTAACACACAAATCATGTCGGCGTATTGGGCCACAAGGTATCCACATCAGACCACATTTGAACCATGTCACAATATAAACATTTTTTAATCACGAGAAAATCTGCATTACAACAACTTCAAGGAAAAGATTGCAATCACATTAAACACAACCATCACGACAACTGCAATATAGATGTAATTCTATTTTTACTTATATAAACTTCCTTGGTTCTTATTTTTGAAGTATGAAATCTATTCCAGGTGACCAAGTTTAAATGTGGAGGTTTTGCTCTTGGGCTTTGCATGAATCACTGCATGTTTGATGGCATTGGTGCAATGGAGTTTGTGAACTCTTGGGGTGAATTAGCCAGAGGATTACCACTCTCAATTCCTCCATATCTTGACAGAACCATACTCAAAGCAAGAATTCCACCTAAGATAGAGTTTCTGCACCAAGAATTTGCTGACATTGAAGACAAGTCCAACACTAATGGTTTATATGAAGATAAAATGGTTTATAGGTCCTTCTTTTTTGACCCTGAGAAGATAAAGCAACTAAAGGAGAAAGCAATGGAAGATGGGTCTCTTGAAACTTGTACAACATTTGAAGTTCTCTCAGCTTTTGTATGGATAGCAAGAACCAAAGCACTGAAAATGTTGCCTGATCAAGAAACAAAGCTCCTTTTTGCTGTTGATGGAAGGGCTAAGTTTAACCCTAATCTACCAAAAGGGTACTTTGGGAATGGGATTGTACTAACAAATTCTATATCTCAAGCAGGTGAACTTACAACTAAGCCCTTCTCATTTTCTGTGAGGCTCATGCAAAATGCAATAAAGATGGTCACTGATAGTTATATGAGATCAGCTATAGATTATTTTGAGGTCACAAAAGCTAGGCCTTCTTTAGCTTGTACTCTTTTGATCACAACTTGGTCTAGGTTATCCTTTCATACCACTGATTTTGGATGGGGAGAACCTCTTCTTTCAGGACCAGTTTCATTGCCTGAAAAAGAAGTGATTTTGTTCCTTTCTCATGGGAAAGAGAGGAGAAGCATTAATGTTCTTCTCGGTTTGCCAGGACCTGTCATGAAGGTCTTCCAAGACTTGATGCAGATATAGGGTTATATATATCTTATATGATTCTGCTATTCCTTATAGGGATATTATGATTAATGATTCTGTCATTTCTTTTAAAAAAAATAGTATTCTGTTTATGAATTTATTGGTGCTGATCAATAACAATTGAAGCCTTGTATTTGTTTGTGTACTTTATATATATTTATATTGTCGCGACCCGATTTTCGGTTGGAAGACCGGTCCTGCAACTTAGGGAGAGGCGAACTCGATTTCTACCTCTTCCAATTGATTTGGAGTCGCCACTACGTTTTTTGCGGTTAAAACGTAGAAAACTCTAAACATGCCCAATTAGGATAATTTGGTCTTTAATCAAAGATTCTGAGCTCGGGAGTCGATTACAGATCGGGGAAGGTATTAGCACTCCGTCCGCCCGTATTAAAACGGTACCCTCGCTAATAACATGGACTTTTATACCCTTAAAATTATTTATTAAAATTCAGTAAATAAAAACAAAATGTTTTATTTTTTATTGTTGTGTCTGACAAGAATTCAACTTGCTCCTACATATCCCTAGCTGCAATAAGGAAATCAAGGCTACGTAGGTCTGGTTCGAAAATTAATTGGTTGATTTCGTTGATTTGAAGGTATCGATTTGGTTGAGTAATAAAATATGTTTTTACTAAAACATTTTTTATGTGGAATTAATAGTTTAGAGACGGCACTGATCGTAGACCTCCTTCCCATTTTCAGAGAATTTAGAGACAACACGGGCCATAACCTTGCTATAAAAATTCTGTTCAAAATTCGTTTAAATAATAAAAATAGATTTCCTCTGAAATATTTGATATGAAATTAATAGTTTAGAGACGGCACTGGTAGTAGACCTCCTTCCCATTTTTCGGAGAATTTAGAGACAACACGGGCTCTAACCTTACTATAAAACTCCATTTAAAGTCATTTGAGTAAATAATATAATAATTTTGCTTTGAAATATTTGATCTGGAATTAATAGTTTAGAGACGGCACTGGTCGTAGACCTCCTCCTTCCCATTTTCGGAGAATTTAGAGACAACACGGACCCTAACCTTACTATAAAACTCCATTTAAAGTCATTTGAGTAAATAATACAATAATTTTGCTTTGGAATATTTGATATGTAATTAATAGTTTAGAGACGGCACTGGTCGTAGACCTCCTTCCCATTTTCAGAGAATTTAGAGACAACACGGGTCCTAACCTTACTATAAAACTCCATTTAAAATCATTTGTGTATTGTTTTAAATTAGTAGCCCAAATATAAATATAATCATATTAACTAATTCGTTGCATGATAAAATAATGATGGAACAAATAAATATGCATAAGTAAATAATACAATATAAAATATTAATTAATAAATAAATAAATAAAATAAATGGGATTAGAGTAAAAGGGTAATTTTCCCTGAGAACCTGTTGAACGTGAAAAAATGAAGGGGGAGAGGGGAAGTGAAATCCCTAAATCCCCAATCCTTTATCTCCTTCGTCTCCGGCAGCGGCAGTGGGTCCTCTCCGACGAGAGGTGGTGATGGTGCTCCATGTCGACCTCTATTCTTCTCCTCTCCATCTCATTTCTTCGCAACCTCTCCTCTCTTCTCTTTCGTTTCGGTAGTGATGGCAACGCCAGGCAATAGCGGAGGTTGTGACGAAAGGCAGCGGCGACGACTAGGAAAGGCATTAATGGCGATGATGGCGAGTTATCCTTCTCCAATTATGTTATGCGACCCTTGATGATGATATGCGGTGATTTCCAACCTTAATTGAATCTAAACCGTGAAGGTGGAAGGAAGCTACCCAATCGACCTCGCTCAGAAAGAACCACCCATTGTAATGATAGTTCGAAAGGTATGTTACCACCCCTTTTCGTTTACCCTCCTTTATTTTGACATCTCTATGTATAGTGCTCTCTAATTGCCATATGATTTGTCATGTGGTATGTATATGATGTATGTTCGGTAGGTATGTTCTTCTTTGGTTGCCGTAGATGTGGTGTCGATGAATGCGTCTCTGTTGTGCTGTTTTTGACTGCTTGTTTGATATCAGAGTGTGTGTATCGATATGTGGTTGCCTCTCTTTTGAGTTAGGGACGAGTATATGTGATATGTATATCTGTGTTAGCCCCCTTTGTGTGTAGAAATTGAGGAATATAGTGTATGTAGGATGACTTTTGGTATGAATGTATGAACTGGTTTTTGAACTGTTAATTTGAAGAATTAGGAATTTGTGTATGATAGATAGCGAAGAATAGGAAATTCTTAGAGGGTTTTATGATTGTTGGTCTTTGATATGTATAAGTGATTTCTTTGTGTACGTGTGTAGTCAGAATTCTATGGAAGTATATGGGTATATATATGGCTTGCTCTCCATTCTGTTGTGTGTGGGTGGGTATATGGGATGCTATGTGTGGTATATCTGAATTGGGGGTGAAATGAGTGTAGGTCTCAGTCATCTCCTTTTCTTTGTATGTTGCCATCTCTTTTATAGAGTTGTAAACCATTTCAATTGCCCATTGGTAGCCAACAATATCCCAGGCTTTTGGCTTGCTAATTATTCTCTCAAAACTGCTCATCAATATTGTCATTTAGATTGGTTTCGCAACTGAAATGATACTAGTCCTGTTTTAATGCTGCCTTTTAAAGTCCCATACTGAAAACTTACGGCTGAGTGTATTTTTTCCTTTATTTCTGATTTTTTCTGCTTTGTGTAACCGAAAGTACCATATGCTTAATTGCTGCCTTTTGAAATTTGGTCCATGTATGTTTTTTCTCATAACTGCTCTGTTATTACTGTGGGGTAGTGTGACTTCTGAAATATTGTGGATTGCATTTAAGGCTGATTTTACTCTCTTTCATTTGTCTTTTGGGGTTTTACTGATTTGTCACTACATCAATGCCTCCAATTTGTAACTGTCTAGAAATATATGCAAGATATCTTGTAATTTAATTCGTTGCATCTTTGACATTCTCATTGCTTAGTAGTTCACAATTTCTTTTTAACAGTTTATGGAAAACCCCTTGATCTGCCTGCTGAGTTGGGAATGCACTACATTTTTGTTTTCTGCTCATTCTAAAACTGCTCATCAAGATTACTGATAAAGAGCTCATAGGGACCCATGCCGAATTCCAGCATCACTGTTCCTTCTCAATACCTTCTTTTGTGTCTTCTAGCTTCCCAAATGAATCCATTGTAGTAATAACATGATTGGAAGCAACATGAGGTGGAGATGGCGCAGATGAAGAAAGGGTGATGGTACATGACTTTTAGCCCAACACAGATACCTTTTCGACATGAAAGGTCAAGGTTGGATTTTGAGTGTAGAGTGCCGTAAGGGAAGTTGTTCTCTGCACCAATGTAGATATAATGAATCTTTCTCTACTTTTGTCTAGTGCCACTAGTCAGTATGAGAGTGAGAGTGAGACTTCCACAGAATCACGGGTCCCAATCTCTTTGTTCCATGTGAAACTTGTAATAATTTGAGGTGGCACATATATGCAAATGTACAAAAGTTAGTTAGATGCTATTTGGATATTCCTTTGAGTGTGACCTGGAATGTTACTAATGCTCTTCTCCTTTCTATAACCAATTCAGATTATCATAAATTCATTGTTATAAAGAGCCATCATATATGGTTCCGGATTCAACCTTATATACCTCATGTAAAGGATAATATACCTATGGAACACTTTATTTCTTCTTCTTTCTTTGTCATTGTTGACCATATAAACTTCTTGTTAAAATAGCTTTAGCAAAGATCATGCAAAGATAGAAATGTTATGAATTATTATTACTTAAGTTCACCAACAAATAACTTAAGCAAACCTTAAATGATTATTGCTTTCAAAATATGTTCCAATATGTACCAAAAACATGCATTCATATGTTATCGAGTTGTTATTATCCATATATCTCTTCGCCGCATTACGGAATGCCTTACAACATATAACACATACCAAAGAAAGTTGTCCGGTAGGACAAAATTGAGTGTTCACATATATATGTGGAAAAGTTGAAGAAGATTATTATTGGTGTTTTGCATGATGAAATAAGATTTTCTCTGTTCGGTACACAAAGAACAAATAACATCTGAACGGGTGAATAGGTGTGAGCGGAAGCAATTAACAATTTTTAATCGATTATCAATTTTTAATTGGTATAGGTGTGAGTTGAAGAAGATTAACAATTTTTTACGGCAAATGAGAAACAGGTTTAATCGATTAACCTGATTATTGTGATATTTGAAAAACAGTTTTCTTGCAAGAAAATATACAGCGTTTTCAATCAACAACAGATGCAATCAACTTAAAGAATTTATGCCAATGTGTTTAACGGAAATAGAACATGCACTAAACTCAGTAAGTATATTAACTAAAACATGTAAAACAAAAGACGATTGAAAAGTAAAGAGGTAAGGGATCAATAAAATTGAGACGACGATTTTATCCTGGTTTGTTTGCGGGTCCACTTGATATCGGAAGATTTTCTTCACTATTTTATTAATGTTTTTACAATACAATCGTTCAAATAAACTTTACAAATTCTCCCTTCTCGGTTCTAGAGTCTCTCACTTCGGTTTGACCTTCAACCCGCCTCTTTCAGATAATCCTCACCTACTCACGGTACAGCCCCAACCGATAATCACTCCCTACCAAGACCTTTGTAAAGTTGAAGACGACAACCTAACCACAGCTAGGATTCCTCTAAAAAATCGTCTAATAAATTATCCAAGTTACAATGCACCTAAAATGTGTGGATATGCAACTGTAAAAGCACTAAAAGCCCAACCTAGAAATCTCACAAAGATTCAAAGAAACTATTTGTGATTAATGTGTGGTTTTCTAAAATGAATGTGAAAGTTTAAGCCCAAATGATAATCCTCAATTATCCTTTATCTCTGATGTAAAACTAGAAAACTAAAAGATTTTTTCTCACAGCAAGAAATTCTCTCAAATGATTTGAAAGTTAAGTTTAGAGAAATCTACAATCTTGTGAATTTTTGACTTGACTAGCTTATGAACATATAGGGAAAATCAGCTTTTATACAAAACTATTTTTAGGTGGACTTAATCGAGTAATAGATTAACTATGTTAAAAATGTTTTCTTGATGCATGATGAACCTCCTACATGATATGTATATGCATGATACATGACTTTGAAGATATTTCAGTTTGATACACTAAAATCATGTTATCATATGTAAATGCATGAGCATGTGAATCATGTATGAATGTATCCAAATCTCATTTTAGTTAGATTCAATTTTAGACTTTGTGAGAGACTTCCATTCTAGGTTCACCTAGCCTAGACTCTACCCAATCAAACATAGACTCTAAAAATATAAAGCTCTAAGCCTAAGTCTACTTGAATGATGTTGAGTCTTTACCTTGTTGTTTGTTGAGTTAATTGCACATGTCTTCAAGCTTGCTTTGTCTTATCCTTGACTTCTTTTTGTCTTCACCAAAACAATATAATGATGCATGCTATATTTTCATCTCCCCAATGTGATGATGCATGTTTGCATTCTCATTCTCTAGAATTAAATGATTATGAAATAAGTTTTATATCTATTTTATAGGGAGAATTTCTATTTATTTCAAGAATAAGTTTTTTAAACTTACTCCACATCTTACTCATCAATTCTTGGGAAATCAAATGATTTGAATTAGTGATTAGATCTAAACATTAGATTTCCTAAAATTGACGACTAAGATGTGCAGAAAACTTACTGTTAGAGTAAGTGGATCCCTTATACTATTTATATTAAAAATAATTGTCAAATACATAATATATATAAATATTAATTAAAAACATTACACATAGAATCTGAAACATCACATATTTATAGGATGTTATAAAATAAGTATTTTTTTTAAAGTTCAAATTTGAAAAATCATGTTTTTAAAGCGTTCCTTAAAAAATTGAAAAGCAGGTTTTCAAAAAATACTTTATTGTAATAGTTGTTTTTGAAATAAAATTTGTTTGAAAAAAATGTTTTTGAATTTCAATTTAAAAAAATGAAATAGATTGAACAAAGATTTAATCAGTAAAATAGATTCATAGATGTATTAAAATATAGTAGATAATTTAAAATATTATTGAATAAATTTATATGTATTAATATTGAAAGCTGCATGAAAAAGCAGACAAGATACTGTGATGCTGAGTTGGAATAAACGACCATAACAATTAACCATCATCTTCTTCTTCAATAAAGAGATAAGTGATTTTATTTTTTATTTTTAATGATAAAAATATAATTTTATTATAATTAAACAGATTAATATGTCATTCAAAATTGTATTTTTTTTATTCTTGTAACACTTATCTCTCAATCTCTTCATTAATTTAGAAGATCTAACTTCATATCAATATATTATACAAACTTCACATGGGTGTTTCACAAGTAGGATGTGCATTCAATGGCGTAGACAGTACATGTTAACTATGCATGGGCGAGGATGTTGATATTTTAATATGTCTATATTATAAATTGTATTTGTAACAAAAATTTATACAAAAATTAAATAAGACTAACTTTTATAAAAGTATATGGAAATAATTGAAAAAGTAAAAATTGTCCACAGAACATAATAACTAATCCCATACACAAATAATTTGGAACGGGATGATTTCAAGAATGTGGGATTTGTTGAAATATATCATTATAAAAAGTTTCACATTATCTGGGATTAAGGTGGAGGAGAGAAACTAATGTTATATATTAGACTTAAGTTCCTTACTATAATTTTCTTAAATTATTTTAAGCACTGATTAGAAATATCTCGTGTGCCATGGACCAATGAGTGTGTTAGGGTTTGCATTTTTTATTCTCTAATAATATTTTGGTAGCTGCTCATGTTAACAATAGAAGGAAGCAGAGGATATGTGTTTCTTACTTATTCATTGATAAAACAAGACAGTCTATAAATAGGCGAATACATAACCGAAATCATCATGACAATAATCACTATGTAACGTGTAAATAAAACTTATTAACTATGAAACATAATTGTAACAAAACAGAAATGCAACGTAAACAAACATTATTGACAATCCTAAATACTACTAAATACTAGGAAACCAAAAGATGCTTATTATTAATTTTCTCAACAATCCCTCCTTTAAACTGATGTTAGCACACATCTAGTTTAATAAGAGCAAGACTTCGAAACTTCATCATTCAAATTTAAAACTTTGAAGTACAAACACCAAACATCATCCTAAGTTTCTGAAATGCAGGAAACTTGAGAGGTTTGGTTAGAATATCAGCGATCTGGTCTTCACTCCTGTAGTAACTAAGATTAACGACTCCATCATTTGTGAGATCCCTCAAAAAATGATATTTCACATTTATATGTTTGCTTCGACCATGTAAAACTAGATTTTTTGAAAGCTTTATTGCTGAACTATTGTCATAATAAATCTGAGTAGGTCCATCATCCTTAAAATGCAGCTCTTTAAGGATTTTCTGTAGCCAGATAGCTTGACAAGCACAAGCTATTGCAGCAACAAATTCAACTTCAGTGGATGATAATGTAACAATAGGTTGCTTCTTTGATGACCATGAAATAGTTGTTGTTCCCATCATGAAAACATACACAAATGTACTTTTCCGATCATCAAAATCTCCTGCATAATCACTATCTGTAAACCCAAACAAATCTGACTTTTCTCCACTCTTGTAGAACAACCCATTGTCCTTAGTACCTTGCAAGTAACGAAAAATTCTTTTTGCTGCTAAGAGATGAATCTCTGTAGGACATTTCATGTACCTATTAATCACACAACATGCATTATATCAGGTCTTGTTGCTGTCAAATACATTAAACTCCCTACTATTTGTTTGTAAATAGTGTCATCAACCTTATTTCCTCCATCATCTTTGTTTAGCTTCATACCAAACTCAGATGGAGTATTTACAGGATTACAATCCTTCATATGAAACCTGTCCAAAATTTCTCGCACATACTTCTTTTGAGATATAAAAATTCCAGTAGAAGATTGCACCGCTTCAATGGCAAGAAAGTAATGCATCATGCCAAGATCAGACATCTCAAATTCAGCCATCATAGATTTTTTAAAACTTTCAAACACATCTATATTATTTCCAGTGTAGATTAAATCATCTACATATAAGCAAACAATGAACATTTTTCCTCCATCTTCAGTCTTTATAAAAAGTGTATGTTCATAAGGACATTTTTGAAATCCTTCCTTCAAAAAATAAGTTTCTATACGATTATACCAAGCTCGTGGAGCTTGTTTTAATCCATATAGAGCTTTCTTTAACTTATACACTTTATGTTCATTGCCAAACTTTACATAACCAGGAGGTTGATCAATAAATACCTCTTCTTGCAAATCTCCATGGAGGAATGCTGATTTCACGTCTAACTGGTAGATAGGCCATGACTTTTGAGCTGCCACAACAATCACCAATCTGATTGTATCATGCCTTGCAACCGGAGCAAATACTTCTTTATAATCAACACCAAACTCTTGCTTGTAGCCCTTAGCTACCAAGCTTGCCTTTTGTTTGTCAACCTCACCATTTTCATTAAGCTTTGTCTTGTAAACCCACTCTACACCAATTGTCTTGTGTCCTTTTGGAAGACCACATAGCTCCCATGTGTCATTTCTTTCAATTGCTATAATTTCAGCTTCCATAGCCTTTCTCCATTTTGATTCTTTTACAACAACTTCAAAGATGGTAGGATCACAATCTGAAAATAAAGCAAA